ATATTTTAGTTTGTAAGAAATATAGATATGAATTGAATTGATTAATGGGACATTAATTGATTAATGATACAGGTTAATGCACTTCTCCCCACAGTCGCTCTGCTTTCTTATCAGCCAGAAGTTGATTGATAGTACTTGTTTCCCTCCCATTAGAAAGGAGTTGATCCTCCCTCACTTCTTCAAACAGAGGCAGGTCCACACAGCCCTCCTTCTGTTTTTCCTGGAAGAGTTTGTAGCAGGAGCTGGGACTGACCAGGAGCAGTCTGAAGCCCTTTTCGCTCTCACTCTTGACCTGTGCGAGGATGAAGCACATGAACTCATCCACATGGCTGATCATCAGCCAGTCTGAGAAAAGTTGTAACAGGATCTGGACTTGCTGGGCATAGAAGAGGTCCCAAAGGGCCCTACTTATATCCTGCCCTCCTTTTTGGGGTAAAAGCTGCTGCCAGTGAAGATCCTGCCTAGAGGATATTCTTTCCCTATGACCTTCACAGGTCCCCCATCAGGCTCCCAATGGAATCTATGCTGGCCATCCTACGGTCCTTGGTGCATTGGATCTCATAGCCAACCCCTGGGCTCAGTGAGCATTTTATAGGGAAATCTTCAAGCTTGAGGACCCAGGAGGTTTAGAGAACCAAGGAAATAGTCCTGTGGGGAGCCTGGGTGTAGTAGAAGGCCATCTTGTACTGGAGTCACTTGCCCAAGTGATTGGAGTCCTCGTAGACAGACACCACCTGGCTGTTACTCTTCTCAATGAGCTCTACCACCTTGTTCACAAAACCCTGAACCTGAAGCTCTCTGCACAGGTATATCTCTAAAAGCATCTGGGTGTTTGGGGTAAAGATACATTACTGTGTCTTTGTGTACCAGGGTATCTGGAATTGACGAGTCTTGGGTCCCTTCCACCAGAAAAATATGGAAAACCAGAAAAAATTTCACCACTGCATGGCGTGTTTGGAATACTATGCAGGAAAACACAGCTTCGGTGCCTCCTCTGGGGAGAACTCTCTCTTTGGGCTTAGCCATTATGGTGAATAAAAAAATGTGTCTCTTCTAATGCACCCAAGGGGATTAGTCTTTTTTCTTTCCTTCCTACCATGCCCATGACTTCATTTTATTGATAATTTCTGCAGAGCACTATCTCTACGTTTCTCATTTTTGGTTCCTGCCTATTAACTGCTGGTTATCCACATGTGTTCATATTTAAGGTGACCAAATTAATATTTGCTATCTAATACAGAGCACTGGCCACTCTAGAGGTGGCTGACTTAAATCCAGGCACATTCTTTTCTGCTCAAACCTACTGTGATCAGCTGGGCTTAGACATATGGCCATTTTTTTCTGATGAAGAAGCCTATGCATTATGGACATAGCCTAATGAGCTCCTCTATAATACTGTTTTTTATATGGTATGTTCATTCCTTTGGGATAGTAATAAAGGAAATTATCTCTATATACTTGGTTTTTCTATTACTCTTATACACAACTAGATTAAGCCAATAGCTTAGCATAAAATCTAGAGAATGGAGTGTGAGCTGGCTGGTGGTTGGATAATATACATATATATTTATTTCTTTTTAAAATGTTTTTATTGATATTAGAGAGAGAGAGAGGAAGAGGGAGAGAGAGAGATAGAAACATCGATGAGAGAGAAGATTGATTGGCCACCTGCTGCATGTCTCCTAATGGGGATCAGGCCCACAACCTGGGCATGTGCCCTGACCAGGAATCGAACTGGTGACCTCTTGGTGCATGGGTCGACACTCAGCCACTGAGCCACATTGGCCAGGCACATATATATTTCTTGATTGTTCTTCTAATCATAACTGAATCCATTATCTGCAGTATCTGGTATATTGTCACATTATCAATGTAATAAGCTATAGCAAATTTCTGTAAAAATGGGAAGTTTATATAAAGTCAAGAGAGCAAATAGACATTGAAATGTATTTTTTAGTCTACTTTTTAACATTCAATTCCAACTGTTAATTTCTTTACCTTTTCTAATATTGTGAATAACTTTTACTACAAACATGAATTATCCTTAATTTCCTTTTAATCTCATTCAATGCAATAATCACATTATATTTCTATCTATTTTTATTAGATATTATCCTGACAGTATGTCAACTCCTCTTGGAAAAATGTACATATTGCAGATACTAAATTTCAATCCTAAATATCCATACAGTAAAAAAAATTTTTTTTGGTCAATACTAAGCAGAATTAGCTTCATGCCAAGACTTGAAACTTGAATACTAACCTCTTTCAGAACCTAAGAGAACAAAGCATATGTTTGCTTCAAGCACTGGTGGCCATGAAATTTACAAATCACTGATTTTGAGTCGGCCGAGAGTTAAACTACTCTGAAGGTAATGCAATTAAGCTGTGCTATCTTAACAGTCATTTAAAAGTATTCATGAGCATTACATCAAATATTGGGAAAAGTCACCATATACAAGGTGACAAGGAAGTACAGCATGACAAGCATGAGCTTGAAACACAGCCTGATCTGAACATGAACCACAGATCCAGTGACTCTGGCATGCCCTGCCCAGTTCCTTACCTGCTCACAGCCTGCGGCCCCTCGTCTGGAGAACTGAGGTAAACAACCTCCACGTTATCACTTTGATTTGATAATTACACAGTTATGCCTATAAAGTTTAGAGCCTAGCTATCTGGCATGTAGGAGGCATGTTAGCTGCTGCCTTACCCCATTGACTTTCTTGAAAATAACACATTCTGACAGACAGGTTATAAATCTTAAGGCAACTTTTTAAAGTTTTAGCAGATTTACTTGGTTTAAAATTTGAAACTACCTACTCAAAGTAAGGTTATCCAATAAGATGTTTTCTGATTTCATGGAAGGAATCAATTACAGTCAAATGGATGAAAAATGGGATTCAATATAGATTCTAGAGGTAAGGTGGTACCTAGCAATGAGTGGGGAAAAAGGAAGTCTGATGGAGGAGGCAGTACTACCAAATAGGAATAGCTACTAATTCTAAATTGTACACGAGATTGGCTCCATTCCTTTTTCAGCCTGTATAATGCAAATTAAGACAATAACTACAATGATAAATTCCTTAAAAACTGTAGATATGTTTTTTGAATAAAAATCACAGTTATCTTTATTTTTAAACATAAATATTTCATTATACAGTACACATACCTTCAATGGTCAATACTTCAAATAAGCAGAAGTTCACTATGTAGGACACACCATCAATTTTGAATTTAGCACAAGGGATAGTCCAACATACAGAGGTATGTTCAGCAATGCACTGGTTTATTACTAGCAAATGTGGGCATATTTGCCTCTTCCTGTTTATCAAAGTTGCTTAAAAAATGAAAACTTCAAAGACCCAGTGACAGTAACTGTAGTCAACACACTCTTCTCTCAGCGATCACTGAATCACTTGAGAAACCATTTCCCCCAGAGAAAAGAAAGTCTCAGTGCAATAGAGGTAGATAAATGTCCTCAGGCTTTGGCTAAAAACATACAAACAACCAGCTAGTACATGTCAGCCCCTATGGGTATTCTAAAAATAGTTTATTCCTGTGGGGGAAACAATAATATCAACATCAGCCTAAAAAGCTCTCCAGAGAATTTCAGAAAGATAGCCAATTATTATAAACCATGTTCTAACATCTTAATAAAAGATTTCAACTCAGGATACCCAAAGGAGGAAGGTGGAATCAACATTTCCTGAAATAGAAGTGCTCATTCCACAAAGCATTTAAAGATATCATTTTAAATCTTTACACAAAACAGCTAGATATTTGCATAGTGCTTTAGCATAACTGATTAGTTATTGAAATTCAATATGTTTAAGTATGTATCTTATAATGACATGTATTTATATTTTAAATGGTGTTTGTTTCATTGTTTGAAAAGCATTTTGAAGTACAAGCACTACATAATAAGGTAAGTGGTTACTATTATTCACTCAGGTGCTTAGAATGCTAACCAATTAATTAGTCATTTATGATTACAGAGATAAAACTGTTTTATAATTCCTGATTACATAGAAATTTATCATCATGTGGGATAAAATCACCAGGCCATATTTATATATACTAAGTAAAGTAAAAAAGAATAAATTTAGATAATTCAATCTAACTTTGGAAAAAAGTTGCTTCTATTCTCTGTAGCTATTTTTAACAAACTTATGAGAAAAATGGGTTTTGAAAAAAATAATATGGAGTAGTTTACTTAAATTACCTAGGTAATTGCCCTAAACTATGTAAATGCAAGCATTACCCAATTTCACTCTTGTTAGATAACAAAGTGCTACCTCAAATGTAAAAGCCACAATTTCAATAAACACATAAACTTAATCTCTTATTGAAGAATTTTTTTAATGAAATTAACTTTTGTTCCTTTTTTAATTAATGTATTTCATAAAATAAATCCATCTCTCATGTGTAAGAACTATAAATCATATCAATCCTCTATCGTTCATTTTTTTAAATAGCTACATCAGAAACTTTATCATTTAAATTTATATCTGAAGTGGACACTATTAAAACATTCAAGGACTTAGTCCCAAATCCTTAACCCAGAGGGAGCTTGGAACGTTGTCAAAGTAGAAAGTGGTACAAGACTTCAACTCTCATTTGCAAATTTTCTTTCCATCTAATTTAACTTTGAAGCTTTTAGAATCAGAGATTTTACCATAAGATATCAACAGACTACTTCAATCAAAATCAAGTTACTGTATGGTTCTCTAGATTATTAAATAGGTAAACTGAGACATTAACTCTTTTGTTCACATCTTTTATTTGCTCTTGCTGTAAGGCAGGATGCTCTTATTTCAAAAGAAATCATCTGAAAAACCATTATCCAGGCAAGGTTCATTCTAGGACCCCGGCTGATCAAGTCAGCCCTGTGCTGCCACAAACAGGACTTGCTGCAGTGCAGAAGGGCAGTTCAGTCGGTCAGAACTTTCAATGCAGAATTCAGTGCCATGCAGTCACCCAGATCAGGCAGCACTTACCTTAATTGAAACATTCTCTGGGAAACCAGTCCAATCAACTGTGAATGGGGTGGGGAGCTCCAAGTTTTCAATCAACACCCTCCAAGTCCTGCGTGCTGTGCTCCTTTTTCCTGTTTACGCTGAGCCCCTCACTGTCTAAGAGGACCAATTAAAAAAAAAAAAAAAAAAAAAAAAGCTGAAATCCTCAGAGATTCCTGTGAGTGAATGAGCACTCAGCGATGTTCCGAACAGGAGATCCTCCGTGAGCCAGCTGCCGTTGGTGTCTCCCTAACTGCTGTGATCTGCTCCTGTCCGCTGAGCGATGATCATTGACCTGATTAGCAGAGAACACTCCCCGTGCACAGGAGACACAGCCAGGGTCGGGGGTCTCCCGGGAACAGGAAAAGGCACCGGCTGCTTGGGAATCTCCTCTGTTTCAGCCTAATAGATGAACAAAACTATGGCTATAATTTGCGAGGAGATTAACCACAGTGTTAAGCCATAGGAGGATTTAAACAAATGTGCTTTCTCTTGCTGCTTTGCAAGGTGCATTCGTGTTAGACACCAAGTACTGTAAAACAATTAATAGACTGGCTGATAGAGCTGATTTGCAAGACAAGCCAAAAGCTGGAAAATGTTTAAAGTAATGTGATAAAAGAGATAGGTGTGCTTGTCTTTGCCCCAAGCCGGGTTCATACTTCAACCTTTGTCTAAGTAAAATGAATTTAAAGGTTTATCACAGCCCTCCAGAGTGCAAGTCTGATTTATAAAGAGGACGTATTCATACTAAATTAGCACGTCTGGCAATTTCTTAAAGACAAAGAACTCCATCCAAGACAGAGATTACAGCATTGTTTCTGTAGTTTAACAAATAGCATTTTAAATTGCCACCACACTTGCAAAAATGTTTGAATAATACTATTAACCCCAGTAACACAGAGAATTACAACATTATACCTAACTGAAGCATCTCTTCTATTAACTGTTACAATACTCATTTTCTAACCCCCCCCCAAAAAAAAGCAAGTATATGAGAGAATCAAAATGTCAAACATTTTAAACGTGCCCATGTTCCATTAGCAACCTGCTGATAGCCATCCTCTGACCACCTGAGAAGCTCTTCAACATCTTACATCAAAAGTGTTACCACTTCCCTGAAGAGATGTCATTCTTCCAAAAAGGTCACTTAAACAAATGTCAAAGCCCCAAATGGTTATTATTATTATTTTTTTTTGACAGCCTTCACTTCTATAGAAGAAAATTGTTCAAATAATATAAAAGGAACAGATGAAAAAAATCATTTACATGTCTGAGAGTGAGAAAAATTTCACTGCCAGGGAGAAGGCTAACAAGGGTCCTCTCACATGATCGAGTGAGGTATGTTCAGCATTTCTTTTCCCAAGTAGGTCTCACTAGGGACATATGGCCTTCTCTTGGAGTGTGTGTGTGTGTGTGTGTGTGTGTGTGTGTATGAGAGAGGGAGAGAGTGACAGAGAGAGAGAGAACATCTGCATTTTAATATTTTAATATTTACATATATTTTAGAAAAACACCAAATTTCAGCAGAGGGATGCACAAAACATAATGGAGAATTTGTTTGCCACATACACTCCCAATTAAACTTTTAAAAAATCTATTCCATTAAAATATAAGTTTCGTCATGGAACTTCTTGGACACAATAAAGCCTCAGTGTAACTGATGTGCTGTGACAGACCAAACACTTGAACCCTACACGGAGGTGACCCTGTGAAGAGCCGCAGGAGGGCTGAACTCTGTCCCAGCAGAGGAAGTCTCTTGCTCCCTCCGCTGGTGGAGAGTGAGAGCTGAGGGTGAAGAAACCCAGTCAATACACCTCAGAGGGAGAATAACTTCTGCAGCAGCTGTTGAGCAGGAAACTCATTATCCAATTATACGCTAGCATTAGAGTAGGAGAAAAGAGGCTGCTTAAATTGAAATTGATGCGCACAAATAAATTGTAAATAAATATTGCAGGAAACGCAACTGCTAATGTCTTCTGCAAGGATCCTGGCTAGTTGTTAACACAGCACGTGCAAGTGCAAAGCTGATGGGGTCCTTGTTTCCGAGTTCAGTGGTCTGGCCATTAAAGCACCCTGTTCTTGAACTGGTGTAAGCCTCATTCTGAGGCTCTTCGACAGTGATCTCTTTTTAGAACTTTTTAGAACAAATGCACTCTAAGTTAAGCCATCTTTAGCCATAGTCAATAGTTTCTACCTGGAAAGCCTTGACTGAATCAAAATAGCTCTGATGCTATTTCCAAATAACCAGTTCTGCTGTTCTCATAGGATCCAAGGGCCTTTCCCTCTTAACATTTTCTACAGAGAGGATGTGTGATTTCTGTGGTAGTTTTGTGTGTGTGTGTTTTTTTAACCAATGTTGAACAAATAATTTATTTTATGTGGAAGTGTACTCATGAGTAACAAAACAAAGGAATACTATTTTGTGAGAATAGAGAGGATGGAGCCGTGATATTATAGTTACTATACATTAAATGTTTGCTATGTGCCAGACACTTTGCATGCTACAGCTATTGTCCATGAAACCCTTAAAGTAATTCTTCTAAGCAAACATGATTCTCTTTTTAAAAATTTTATTCATTAAGCTAAGGCTCTGAGAAGCTAAGTAACATTGACCAATGCCACACAGCCAGCACAGAGCTAGTCCAGAAATAAAACTCAGGTAACTTAAACTGTAAAATCTTGATGCATAGAAATCTCCAAAACATAAAACTAACAAATATACCTGTTTTCAAAAGAACAGGGAAATTGTCTTGTTTTTATGACTTGCAAAACACATTTTCACATCACTAAAACTTTTACTTTGTGACTGATAAAATATTATACTGTAACAGTTTAGTCACAATAGTTATGAATATTTTAGCAGAAAATAAAACTCAACTAAAAATAAACTTTAGCCTAAAAAATAAACTCAATCAATAATTTCCAAATGATGTAATTTTATTAGCACAAATTGGTCAATTTCAAAATTTTTATCTCTTTTGCAAATCATCTGTCATCCTCAAAAATAATAACTTGTTCATGGTTTAACCAGGAAAATGACTCTAGAATATGGCTAATTTTAAAACACTTACTAGAAATATATTGGGCTATAATTATAATGATTTCTCATATTTCAGTTTTCCAAGAGAAGTAATATAATAGCAAAGCTGAAAAAAAAAAATTTATGGACCTGAAAAATTCATTTCTAGCTTGTTCAAGCTTTATCTAGAACTGACTTAAACCTACCATTTCATATGGTCTGCTGAAATTCTTAGACACATCCTTTATCTTACAGAGAAATATTGTGACCACTTTTTTCCCAAGGCTTCTAATAAAAATTCTATCTAAAAAATTGATAATTCATATTAAGTCAACTCTTAAACTTTGCCAGTAAATTTCCCACCTATTATCTCATTTGATTATTACAGGAATCTTGTAATATAGGTTACAATAAGTGTTTTACTCATATTTCAATGAATGAAAATTAGGAATTAAAAAAGCAAGAGAGTGTCCTTTGGTCTTGGATAGTCAGCAGAAAGACTGCTGTCCTCCTTTGCAGACAAAGCTTATTGCTTCCTACCTTGTTTAGCAAAAATGTTTGTCTGAGTCATGGTGTAATCAATAACGAATCTAAATGGAAGCTACTCTTTCTCCATTAATTTGGGTTGATTCTAGAAAGTGAGAATTATAATTGTGATGTAATAAAGACAAAAAATTACTGAGCTGGTAGGAATCTTGTGACTTACATGTACAGGAATGTCTTTACTTAGATTATCTATAGTCTTTTCTTCATCTTGACTATTATATCAAGACAATAGTTTAGATATTTGTCTTAAATTTTTTTTATATTAATCTCACCTTGCTTCTCTATGAACTTCAGGTTCAAATATTACCTCTCTGTATCTTTTTGTTGTGATTTAATAATCAGGGAAGCAGAAACCCCTCATTAGTGATCATTGTTTTAAGTATATTTAAAACAATAAATTGTCAGCTTACCAAAATAACAAACTGATGTTTCAGCAGCAGCATCAAGCTAATACTACTAACCCAGGAATACTTGCTGAGTGCTAATAGATTCTCATATCCTATACATATTTCTGCTTATGTGTAAGTCATAGGTATGAAATGGCTTGATCTACCAGCCTTTCAGGTAAACTTTTCCTATTTCTGAAGCTAGCTTCATGCACACATACTTATGAATTTGAGATACTACCAACTTCTAGAAATAAAGAAAGCTTCCACAACTGTCAAAATTCTGGCACTAACTAGCTTTATAACCTTGAGCCATTTAAAAAGTTTCTAGTTAATTTCACTGGAAAATGTGAGGAATTAGACAATATTACGTCTAACATTTCAGTCAACTGTTACCTATTTGACTAATCATTTGTGATATCCTCTGTACTAAATTCAGAAAAAATCAGGCAGTCAAGAAGAAAAGGTTGTAAGTAATTATGCTTGTTCTCTCTTCTCATGCCCTGTATTGCTCCTAACAGTTTCATTTTTCTAAATGTTTTTTTTTATTGATTTTTTTTAGAGAGAGAAGAAGGGAGAGAGATAGAAACATCAATGAGAGAGACACATCCATTGGCTGACTCTTGCACACCCCAATGTGGACTGAGCCGGCAACATGGGCATGTTCCATGACTAGTATTGAACCGGTGATCTCTTGGTTCATGCATCGACCCTTAACCACTGTGCTATACTGGCTGGACCCTAACAGTTTCATTTTGTTTTATAAGTGACATTACAATAAAAATGTTTTGTTTTCATAGTTAGAGTAATTTAAGAATTAGCCAGAAATCAATAATTTGAAACTAGACACAGAATAGATTAAAAAAAGTCACAAAAGTCAAGAATATGACTTAATTTTTTAAGTGAGTGCATTCTTTTTAAAGATACATAGTTGTTATATTATATTTACAATGCATCCAAAGCTTTTATTTTTATTGTCCTGGTCAGTTAAAAATAAAATGTGATTTAATTAAAATGTTTGAGAATTAACTTAAACTAAGGAGCATAATTGAAAAATGAACATATAATACTAATATATTTTATATTTGCAAAGCCACAATTACATTTCAGTACACAGTTATTTGAAAATTTAAAAAAGTAGTGTAGTGCGTAATTATAAAAAAAGA